TTTATTACCCATGCATAGTTTAGAATAATGCAAAATTACACGAAAGCAACAGTTTAAGTATACCAAGGTTTTCTGTAAGGAAGTGAGATAAAGCGTTCTATAAGTAACACTCTTGTCGAGAGTTGTTTTTTAATTCCTGAAATCTGCAAAGCACAACGCGTTTCTGTGTAGAGAGTGCAAACTAACGGCTAACTTTGTTCAATGTCAGTGTCAACGTCAAACGAATGAATGAATTTTATCAATTCGATCGAAAACAGCACAAGCACCTTTTTAACGATTAGTATCCGATTTTTGGTGATTTGTGGCGTTTTCATAGAAGTTGCAGGGTGGATTACTCGGTGCAGACTGAACAAAAAGATTAAAGACGGGTTGACATTGAGTCGATGTTTGTTGACGCGATGAAAGAAAGGCGTGGACTCGCTTGAGAGCTGAACCTACTTTTTAGAGCTTTAGGAGCAATAAAAACGAGACGATTTAGACGAAGATAACTCCAATATGCAATTTGAAAGTTTAAAATACTGTCATTTTGCTTGTCGACACCTTTAAAGAACTTGCCTAGGAGCTTATCGAGAGCAGCAGCAGGTATGCTTATTACATTAGAATTTCCATCAAATTTTTGCACTCGTATTTTGACTTTTCAAAGTATTCGACAACCTTTCGGCTGCAATGGAATAATCTGGTTTACGACCCGAATTATGTTCGTCGTAGATAGTCGTATTTCTCTACTGGAGGGCCAACACTTTCTTTTGGAAAAAATACCAAAATTCCCCAGCCATCCCCCCCTTAAAGAAAAAACGTACCTTCCCTTATTACATTAGAATTTCCAGTAACCTGCTGTTCGAAAAACCCTATAAACTATTTGCACTCGTATTTTGTCCGCTTGCCCTAGAAAAACTCGAAGAATCCGACTCGAAAGATTGGGATATCTGTTTCTAAGTTTTGCTCTTTTTCCTCGTTGGCGTACTTTTCCTTAAGCCTGTTCAAATTTTTCTTGAAGAGATATTTTGGCGACCAAAACAAACTTTTGAATTTAGCAGGCCATTCTGTGAAATACGGCGCGCTAAATGGACTAATCATAGCGCACGTTCTACCCAAGAGATGTAACGAGGGGTTTTATTTGATAATCTACGAGCTTAATGCCCTGAAAATACCTGATCAGATACATCACTGTACGCACGCACAACTAGTTTGATTATTCCATGCCAAAGCGCTTTCTGCTACTGACTGATGAGAAGCAACGTGTCAACCGAACTGATCGAAGATGAATCACCACGCCCTCACCCAACTAACGGCTCTCGTTGGGCTGTCCGCAGCGACTAATTCTATACATTTTCAGAACATTTGACATTTCATACATACCAGCTGTACGTTTTTCTTGATGTTCATTTGTTAAGTAAGGAATTTCAGGTATGTTATGTTCAAATGACAAGGACGACGAGCGAATATATACGTACTTTTTATATAATAAAAATTGTCACCGGTCGATCGATTGAAGAAAAGAAGAAGAATAAAATAAATTGATTGAAGCTGTAAAGAAAATATAGTTCTTGTATATGTGTGATTGTACATAGTGCGGAGCATAGATTTCACAAACGGACGGTATAAAAGTCTGGTAGGGGTTATATAAAACCGCACGATCAGAACATATTTACCTGTCCTGTAATGAAAAAGGAAGATCACGAATAACGAGTGCTGAAAGAGTCCGATAAATAGAGGAAACAAGAAAAAAAAGTGTTTCTGGAACAAAATCTAGTGTTTCCGTCCACTCTAGATCTGAATTCGTCAGCAGAAATAAGACAAAAATCTGTTTCCGAAAAGTAACCCAGTATTTCCGTCGACGTTCTGTCTGATTACGTCTACGGAAACAAGAGAAAAACGTGTTTCCGGAACGTGACCTTGTATTTCCGTGAACGTTTAGGTATGATGACGTCGACGGAAATATAAAAAATTCATGTTTCCGCCACGTTACTATGTGTTTCCGCACATGTTAACATGAAGTTACACTTGCGGATACATTTGTTTGTTTTCCTTCAACTGAAACCTGACGGAAACATGTAAAAAAGTGGTACGGTTCCGCTGTGACCGCAGCAACGGAAACACGAGTAAACGTCACCAAACCGACAGCGGAAACGCGTGTTGAGCATCGTGTTTCCGCAACGTTTTCACATATTTCTTCCACGTTTCCGTTTACGGATTCTTGATATTTCTTCCTGTGTATATTATTCGCATCTACTTTAGCGGTAGCGAAATATCAACTTGCTTGATAAATAATAAAACATATAATACGAAAGAAATCAATTTCGAGCAAAGAAAAACTTCACCACAGCTAAGAGTTGTCATAGGCATATAAGGTTGCTTTGCTGTGGGTGAGATAGTTTTTTTACGCGTCATAATATTTGCTTTTGCTGTGGGTGAGATAGGTTTTTTGTCTGCCCTAGAGGGATCAACGATTGAGCAATTCTATCTGGTGGTGTGTTGCATGTGGAGGTAGTGTCTAACTGCACCATGATTGATTTGTTTAGGTCCTTGGTCACACCCAGTTCCAAGGGGCTGGACAATTAACGCCCTAGGGCCTCGCCTATTGGATGTCGTGAAGTGCTGTAGACAGTTTGGGCATATATTTCTGGTTTGATATAAACCTTAAAGAGATCAGTTTCATACTCCTCCCCTGAACTTTTTTCGGGTTCTTCTTACCAGCGATGGAGGAACGGAAAGCTGCCAAAGCTTTGTCTTTTTCCTGCCACTTTAGCCTAACAGGCACAATCCGCTTCTTCTGCTGTTTCTTCGGCAGGAGGCTCGCTGTCTTACCATCCATTGAGCTCGCACCAATTGCGACCATATCATCACCCAATCCGAAGTAATACATCAATCCCAAAACATTCTGAAAAAGTTTACCTTTATTATCAATTCACAGTTTTATAATTAACCAGAAATCCGATTTCAATCGTTACACGAAGGCGCGCCATAAAAGGAGAGGTGCCTTAGGTACCTCTGAATCATTTGTCAATCAACCGTCGTGGCATATACAGAACTCCAAAACAGCCTGAGCTGCAGCCAATGCAAGGCACTGACCAGAGGCGCATTTCTCGGTAAAAATTTCTACGTTTTCATCACAATGGAAGAATTTTTTGAGGTTTGTATTACCTTCCTCCGATCGAAACCTTCTTCATTTGTGGCGGTAAATTTGAAATTCGAAATGATTCGCTTCGCCGTCGCCTAAAATTGCCATGGCGTAATTTCATGTCTGTTCTTAAATACTGGATGTAGATGACCGTTAGAATAAAAAGAAAAGATGAAGAAATGTTCAAGGCATTTCTTCAATAATGCGAAGGGGAAGTGCTGTTAACCCAACGGAAGAAAAATAAAAGCAGAGCGACCATTGCAGGCGAAGTTCTGGAGCGCGCGAGTGAACCGCCGCCAACCACCGATTCCCTTGGACATGTCCAGGCATCGATATCGCCAAATGAATCATCTGTACGGGCTTCCTCCACAAATGGTACGATTTCGTTTTCTTTTTTTTAAATCTAAGTATAATATGATTACAACAATACTGAATGATCTTTAACCTTTGGAACAATACATTAGAAAGGTAACTTAGGACTACAGTTCGATACCAACAATCACTGTGATAATGTATCACCAAGATTGAAACACTCGCGTAACGCAATAATTTTCCAGAAGTAACTAATTGCAGATTTTTTTCGAACTAGGAAATACTAGTTAGAATATACTTGCAAACCACAGATTTTTTTCGTATGATGCGACAGTTCATGTCTAACACTGCTTCCTTTTGATGCCTTCATTTTCCGAAATGCAGCCTTGGGTGACACCTACGAAATGTTTTGTCCTGCCTAAGAATGTTTTGTCCCGCCTAAGAATGTTTTGTCCTGCCTAAGAATATTTTGAAAGGAGTGCTACACCATGGGCATACGTGTCAATTAAACATGAAAAATGTACATAAAAATTGTCCAAAATAAAATGTAGGCGGGAAGACTAGTTGTACGATCATATCAGACTTCATGACCGTTCAGTTGCGCTTTCGCTCTAACAGTTATTTCACCTTGTCTCCACAATAGCTGATGCAAGAGGGGACGAGTTCGAAATGTGTATTTACTGTTGGCAAACGCCATGTGTAACGACCGACAGTCGCGAATACCTTGGCTATCGCGAAGCACATATTCAAAATCACGTGCGACGTAGAAAAGATTAGAAGACGTACTGGAGAGCATTGAACAAATGTGGGCTCTGGAAAGACCCTGTTTACCAGGCTAGAAAAGTCGAACTGGGGGACCACGTTAATGCAGTGCGGGAAAGGATGCCCAATTGTGTTATAAAAGATGTGAGGTCAAGGTTTCCTAACCCTCCTAGTATTGCCTATAAAAGGGAATAATAAAATTCTCATACAAATGCCCACCTCAAAGAGAGCCCAAGTACCCAACTTTTTTTATGGTCCATTTTACAATGTCCACACAGCAAATTATAGTGACTTTCCTATAGGTTAGGAAAAGATATACAGTGCAAAGAAAAGTAACAGGAGGAAACAGAGAATGAGTCTGCTTGGAAATACCTTGTGTCAAACCTAATATTCATGTTTTCATTGCTTGGTACCAGCAGTTGTTAGAATTGGTCCTCCCTAATGACCTCACATATTAATACTGAACATTTGGGCTCCTAGTTGTAATTATCACAGAAACTGTGGTGCAATGGAAAACAGAAGAGACATCATTTGTTTATATTAAAAAAGGTAGACCAGATAGTTTCTCTGAAATTAAATGTCTTTGAAGTAAGCACCCTGGTCTCTGCCAAGCGGTTTGGATGCCTGGTATGTTGGTACATCTGTAGAGACGATGCTTCTCGATTCACATTTTCATTCTGTAAGACAAATGAGTCAATGAGCAAGAGAAGGCAGTGAATCCAAAAAGTGCCAAAGTAATTGAGCAGAATTAACAACATAAGTTTCTTACCCAATCAAGAATGGCTAACTCCATGCACATGTTTAATGTGTCATCCCCATAATGAATCCGCTTTGCAGCATAAATGAGCATCACTGAATGGAGAGACTCAATCCAATATGTTTCCCTGCACTGAAGAAGGCAACAAATTATGGGTGATTTTTCTTTAACTGGAAAATGAATTTGTTCAACTCATTTATGGCCCTTACCTCAACATCATTAATTTGGAAGAAGAGATAAACTTCTTCATGCAAAGAAACATAAACATACAGCATGCGTCAATTAATTACCCGCATGTAGTCCGATGCATGCCTATAAATTGAAGTGCCCATAATGGCTTCCCTGCATGCAGCTACTACTTCAGGTTTAGTTAAAAGTTTTTTGCTCATCACATAGCCATTCTGCTTGCACCGTGACTCCGCATGGCATCTGACATGATTTCCCTGAGTAATAAATACACCAAGTTATAGAAAAATAGATTAATAAATCAGTAGTAATAATTATAGTAAGTATAATGTCTCTTGTTCACCATTATTAAAGAAATATGTGCAATCTTTGAGGTAATGATCATGTCATATCTTACTAGAATAACACAACAAAAGGTACTTACAGAAATGAAAACAAAATACTATGTTCTCAATAAACAGTCACTCAAATTACCTGGTAATGGTCAACTACATTCAACAGTGTACCCTGAAATTCTTCTTCATTGGGTGGACTGTTCTTCATGCAGAAGTACACAAGAGTCCTTGTACTTTTCACTGTAAAATATTCACAATTATTATATTCCATTATAGTCATCTTATATAAAGAAGGAATTTGACATCTGCAGGTAATTGTGGAGAGAATATAGCTTTTGATGACTCTCATAAGAGAGATATCTTACCTTTGTCGAACAATTCAAAAAACCACTTTGAGCCCTCATCCCTCTGGGCCCCTGAGGCAACTTCCTTCATTGCTTTAGTCACAGACTTTGCACCTGAAAATAAAAAAATATATATTAATACCAATAAAATGCTAACTTTCAAGAAATAGTCATAATCATCAAGACAAAATGAGCCAAAAAATACAAGTGTGTACTGAGTACCATGCCAAGAGTCAAAGGAATTAAGCATTCCTTTTGACAAGATCCATGTTTTTAGCTGTAATACAAAGTCATATGCCACCTCTGCAACATGGAACCCTGAAAAAAGAATTACTTTAGCTGCATTATAAAAGATACTTCTGATCTCCATATTTGTATTACATATGTGATATGATATTATTGAGGATGCAAATTTATCATACCTTGTGTCTCAGAGAGATAAGTCAGCAGCTCTTTTGTCATAGGGACCTCACGGCTTACTGCTGAAGTTTCATTGGCCCTACTCCAGTTGACAACTGCTAACACCTTTTTGGTCCTAAAGATAATCAGTGCAAATGAAATGATTTTAGGAATGGTGTTGAACATACCAGAGGTTCAACATATCATACAAAGAGATCAAGTAGAAACCATCTCATAAGAAAGAAAGGGCTGACACTGTTGTGTGTGCTGCTGATTGACTGGAATCATGCCTTGCATCTGTTATAACACACTGTAGGAAGAAATGGTAGAAATCAAGACATAAAAATGGTCACATTTCTCTACTCACAGATATTTTCAAGGTTTACAATCTGATATAAGATTTTATATCTTTGTATGTGCCAGTCTACATAATATATTCCGAGTATGGCAGGTGTATAAGTATGTGGCCAAAGACAAAATGAAATTAAAATGACAATTTGTACCTCTCCATTCACAGCATATGCAGGGTTACTCTTCACTTGTTCTTGAGCAGCCAACATCGACTCATTGGAGACCCTCTTCACGACTGTCAAGTAACTGAGCTTTTTCAAGACTGCTGAAGTGATTAAAAATAGAAGTATTTTAGAATTGTATCTGGTAAGGCACAAACCAAAGAAGGAACAGTTCAGTCAGTTTGAGCTATCTTGGTAAAACATTCATGATTTAGCAACCTGCAAACTGCTGTTGACTGCCTTCTCCTTGCAAGGAGAAAGACTACATGATTTTCAGAGCATCTGAGCATGTGCATTGCTAACCTGTGTTGGAGGTCTTTTCTCCCTCTGACCCGATGTTGACTGCTTGACAGAAACTTGTGTATTCTGTCTCTGTCAAGCCACAGGACAATACTCCATGAACCAATCTATGAAAGAGAGACAGAGAAGTGACCAGTTACAAAAAACAAAAACTGTAAAATGCCGAGAAAACAAATTTCTGTAAATTTCAAGCAAAAATAAAAGAGTGCTCACCTCAAATTTACATAGTACTTTGGAGGAGATCCTCCCATGATAGGGGAGGAGAGCCACTTGAAAGAATCTCCACCAACACATGAAATTGTCACTGACACTACATGACTCTGTCGATTGAAGACAAGTGACTCACAACCGAGGGGTTTTCCACAATAAAAACATGATGTCGTTAGCGTATTAGAGAAAAAAGAAAACAGAGTTCGCGGAGATTCTTCACTGCAGAGATATAAGGAGTCGTTCTCTGCTGAAGATGCAGTGATTTGCATTCTTTGTGGCGTACGTTCTGCTTGGAGGAGAAATTGGAGAAAAAGGATCAGCAAAAGGCAAAGAAATACGCGAAGATGGAGTGGAAGAAGCTGAAGGAATTGAAAACCGTGCAGTTGTGGATGGTGTATTTCGGACTTCCCGTTGATGATAAGCTCAGATCGCTCGATGTCAGTCATTTCCTCTCAATTTTCTCCTCAAAAGCTAACAGAAGAGCTTCCATCAAATCTGCATTCTGTGTGCTTGTCGTCGCTTTTGTAAGATTCAACGAGCCTTTGGCCATCTTTATGCGGTCTTTGATGCCGAGAAGTCTGCTCTCCTGAGTTCGAGGAACTTCTATGTTGAACGAGAACTGTGGACCTCGATCCGTTGGTTTCTTGGGTACAGATGGCTTATTTCCCTCAGCCATAACGAATAAATTTCCCAATAAATATATCTTTCGAGCAGCGACAGCCAAGACTATTCTCCAAACTGAACTAGAGTTGTGAAATTCTGTCTCAAAATCGCACTTACTTGTGAAATCATCCCTACTTTAGAGGTTTTGTCACAGAATTGTCACAGATAACAATAGTCTGAGCATTGCGCATAGAATGTGTCATGAATCCGCTAGTTTCGATGGGAATAATCTGAAGGCTCGAAGAACCAGTTTGTATCAGGGGCTTGGGACATAAGCCGAAGTTACACGGCGCGAATTTTGAAAAGACAACTGTGCGAGTGTCTCGTCGACCGCAGATAGCGCTTTGAGCGGCCGAACGATAAGTTAGTGCCAATTAATATCAAAATGAGCTCAATTATGGGAATGAGAGTCAACAAGACGCAATATCTTCTAATTTATTGACACAAAAAAAACACTTAAAGTGTGTCTTCTATGCAGACCGTTTCACTCATGGTGGGAACTTTGGTCGCCATATTGGATGATTTTTGCATTTGAGCTGAAACAAAGGGGAGGAGCCAACCTATTTATAACGCGCCTTCGTGTTAAAATTCACCTTTCACAAAGCCTTTCCCTAACGCAAGCAATCATCAGTAAAAAAATAATCAATTCGGACTTTTTTCCATAAAATGAATGTTCAAAATGAACATTCCCACCTCCCCCCTCCCACTTAGAGAACACACTGTTAGGTCAAAAAGAGATATTTTGTTTATTAAACTTGAATCATCTACAAACAGTATTATGTCAAAACTAAGGTTCTCTTCTTTGCGCAAGTTTAGGCTATGTATTTTTTTTAAAAAAATTAATTTCTTTGGAGCTGCCGATGTAAATTTAAAGAAAGGCACCATTCTCGCAGGCGAGCTGCAATTTTAAACCAAATCCTCTGACTCTTCCCTTCCGGCCACTTAAGCGATAAATGATGACCGGTAACTAAGGTCTCGAGGGATTTGGCCGAAATTCCAAGGGTCTCCCTCAGTAGAAGAGGAGTCTGGAAAGAAGTTAAGAGTTAATTTCTATTCCTACAGATGTACTTTGCAAACTCTGTAAGTCTTAAAAACTTCATGAGATGATTAATTTGCTTTATTGTCTTTCTTAATATCGTTTACGTAGGTATTTAGGATGACAATCAGATAGCAGAGCTACCACGTGGAGTCTTCAGCTACAACACCAAGTTGATTCAACTGTAAGTAAACAACATTTATTGCTTATCCCATGAGACTTATTTTTAAGAAGCTTATACAGACCCAGTCACACGTGTAAACTATAGCAATTTGTAATGTTGGGACTCAAATCCAATATCTCAGCTCATGTACTTACTAAATCTTGGTTTCAAATTTTAATTGCCCTTAAGTCCATGCGTTGCAGAGGGGCCAGTTTACAGCTCATAATGGCAGGATCCAAATCCTATATCCCAACTGGCATATTTGCCAAGACCCCGTTTCAAATTTTAATAGAAATCCCATCGCCGTTGTTATTAGTGGGAGTGGGATTCAGTTTCTATTAAAATTTTGTTAATCCCACTAGCTTCAAAAAGGGTTCAGAGAGACGCAATTTACCGAAAGATGGAGAGTTCAAAACTCAGCCAGTCGAAAAGAAATTTGAAGTTAACAAGAATAGCAAAATCAACAAATTCCAACCTCCTCCTTCCCACTTCCCCCCTCCCACTTTGAGAACATATTGTTAGTTCGTAATATTCAGATCAAAATCGAACAAATCACATCGCGTATTTACCAAAACTCGGTTCTAAATTTTAATTGCCCACTGGCCCATGCGATCGGCTGCATTGAAAATCCGATTTCAATCGTTACTGATCCCATTTAAATTCACCTTTTATGGAGCCTTTCCCCTAACGTAAGCAATTATTAGGAAAAAAAACAATCAATTCGGACTTTTTTTCATACAATGACTGCTCAAAATAAACATTCCCAACTCTCCCCTTCCACTTGGAGAACACATGGTTAGGTCAAACAGGGGATATTTTGTTTATTACATTTCAATCATTTACAAACAGTATATTGTCAAAACAAAGGTTCTCTTCTTTGCGCAAGTTTAAGCTGTGTATTTGTAAAAAATTAATTTTTTTGGAGCTGCCGATGTAAAATTAAAGAAAGACATGATCCTTGCAGGTAAGCTGCAATTTTACCAATTGCAGAAAAGGAAGACTAAGAAAAATTCAGGCTCGGACGGGATTTGAACCCAGGCCTCCCAGAATATCACTACCAACTGAGCTACGGAAGTAAATGTCAACTCTTCCGCCCTTATGCCTATTTACTTTTATAGGACGCTTCATAGCCCTTTAATATTTGCTTCAGTTATATTCTGGTCATTGTCCTTCAAATGTTTTTTTTAAGTGCGTATAACAAAACATTTAGAAACATTTTATTGTCGAAACGAAGGCTCATTTTACTGCGCGACTTTTCGATATGTATTTGTGATGAAATGAGTTTCTTTTGACTTGCGGATTAAAATCAAATAAATACATGATCCTCGCAGGTGAGCTGCAATTTTACCAATTGCAGAAAAGTTGACTAAAAAAAAAATTCAGGCTCGGACGGGATTCGAGATACTAATTGGGCGATGCTGCAAACTGAGCTACAAAGCCACACGTTATGAGTGAGGTAAATTTTGGAAGATTCATCTTTCCTTGGTGAAAACTTATGCTCTTTGCAAAGAGGTAAATCAAATAGCGCCATGACAAACGCAGGTGAGCTGAAATTTTAGCAATTACAGAACAGTCCGGAAAAAAGGAGAAAAAGGCTCGTTCCTTGACTTTAGGGGTTACCTCGCTCCAACTTGGGAGGAGTAGAAGAATCTAGAAACAATTTTGCTTTAATTTTTTATTTTGTTTTTTCAACACTTTAGGTGTATTGAAAATTGTTTGAGTTTACCTATTTGCTACATTTTTTTCGGTTTGGTATACACAATAATTTTTAATATTATTAAGACTCCTTCTCAGTTTAGTTTATCCAACCAAATTAAAAAAAAAAAAAACATAACTAAACAAAAGTAAAAAAACAACAACAAAAAAAGGTGAAATGAACGACGTGAAATTATGTGTTGTTCAGAATGCTCATAAAAAGTATTGGAAAAATTTGGCTTAAGATACGCCCTGAAATCTTTCTCATTAGAGCCTGTTGATTTCCGAGGGTAAAGGTCAGAATTCAGATTTCGAGATTTTGAAAACGACCAAAAAATGTAAGCCAGCATCTTGAGTAGGATTTGATTTCAAAATTTGTAGAAATCAACTACAGCGTTGCGTGAACATTGTGAAAACGTGAATGAAAGCGATCTTCGCAGTAATGAACACTACTTAAGTAGTAGTGAAAAGAAGTCCTGAAAAAAACTCAGGCCTGTACGGGATTTGAACCCATGACCTCTGTGATACCGGTGCAGTGCTCTACCAACTGAGCTAACAAGCCAAATATATGACTTCCATATATTCACAACCGTTTATTCACCACTTCACGGGTTTATTTGGGACCAACACATTGACCGGCTCCCAGTTGGCTTGTTAGCTGTACGGGATTTGAACGTTAACTATTCCAGGATTTTACTAGAACTCTAAGCCGTTAGCATAGCAGGTGGCGTAATACACAAAACGATCGCAACGCAACATCATTTAACAACTAAAGTTCGAGATAAAGACAAATATAATTGGAAATAAAGTGTTCTTAACAATATGAAGTAATCGGCATATAAAGGCACTTGTATTTAAAAGAGCATTAAACAAACGTCTAAACAACCAAAAGTGGATAAGGATGGACGGAAAAAATCTAAATATGATCCTCTCGCCTCTGTAGAGAGAAAAACATCAACAATAAAGACAACAAGGACAAAAATAGCCAAAAAAAGCTTAAATGCTCATTTAAATGATCTTTGTACATGAGGGGACGCAAATCGTCTGCACTGTAAGTACATATCAAGCTCCGCAAGAAGAGGGAAATAGTTGAACACGTGCTCTTGCATCCGATCTCACAATTTACGAGAACTTCATTATTCTTGTGAAAAATGATAGCCGTCTTACTGAAACTTGATGACAAGTATAAGCCGGCAAAGAAAACAGTGCAAAAGCAATTATCTGTCACATCGATGTCAGCAGCAACAGGATTATGACACCTTACAGCGTTCAAAAAGTCCCATACATTTTCTTAGACTAAAAGTCTAAGAAAATGTAGGGGACTCTCCGGGATACTTACAGTACAGACGATTTGCGTCCCCTCATGTCTTCTTATTAGGATTTGAATTCTATCCAGTTCTTTAACCTGCTGTTACTATTTAATCAGGTTTTTTTTTCATATGCCTTATCTTTGTAGTGACTTTTCTGACAACCAAATAGAAAATCTACCACCTGGAGTATTCACTAACAACACCGAGTTGACTCGCCTGTAAGTAAAACATTTGTAGCTTCATATTTAATACTATCGATACTGTTTTATTTCAAACTATAATAATTGTGTTTCGCACAACACTTATTGTTATATTTCGTAAGCAGCTAATGTTGATTCCATCCCACCTATAATACGACACGAGTTAAACTGATTTATTCAGAACATATTTTACCCAGTCCAGGATAGTAACATTAAGAATCGCATCTCCAAAGTAATCACTCCATTACTTTAAGAATTGTGGAGAAGTACATGATTTATCTATTATTTTTAAATCACGCTTCTAAACTTCACCAGAGATCATATCTCGACTCTTCTTATCCCATTATATTTATGTAATTTTCTGTTTTGTTTTTCTTCGACTTAAACATTAAAAAAAAAAGGTAGATATTGACTTTTTGTCGTACCTTTCCAATACACACCAATAGGAACGTAGTTTTTCGATGGAATAGACAAGATTCTATTCGTAATACCTTCCAACGGAAGTAAGATACGTTTGACGCGGAAGAGTAGCGGAAGTCAGATGAAAATCAGAGAGGGCCGGGCA